TAGCGGACCCGACAGACGTTGTCCTGCATATCCACTTGAATGTATAAACAAAAATTCTTTCAAATTAGTTCACCTGTTTAGGATAAATAACCTAAATATCCACTGCTGCGCCATCTGCCGGGCTGATTTGTGAATCTAAACCATTCCCAGATTGCTTTGAACACACAAAAAATTTCATCAAAATCGGTCTAGTCGTTTGAGAGAAGTTCAGTGACATACACACTCACAGAAGAATTATACATATAGAGGTATATAAAGATACATAGATGAATGCAAAAGTTTTTTGCGAGACCCCTTGCTTTGCGACAGTCGTACTTGCGACCACTCGGCTAACGAGGCAGTCGTAATATCTACCTCTATTTCTTGCAAATAAATATATTTTAATTTGATAATGCGTTGCTCCATTTGGACTCATGTCTAAATACTCAAACGCCACTCAATTGTAAATCCCGCTAGTCGAAGTATAGTTCTGTCGTAGTTCGGGTGTTAATGTAAAGGGACGTTAATTTTCTAAAATATTATAAGTCTGTAGTAACGAGTTGACGCGTTAAATCATAGTTCTATTATTGTATCTAAGTTTAGGAGAGCCATGCTTCGGCACGAATGGGCCGGCTCGACCGGAGTGATACCACAACTTCATAGAAACCCGACGTGTAGCAATGCTTGCGTTGTGTTTCGTCGTGTGAGTGAGGTTACCGGAGGCCCAATTACCCTCCCTTTCCCCAATCTCCCCAATCTCTGAATCCCCAACGATCCTCAAACTCCTAATCCCCAAAAGGCCGGTAACGCACTTGTAACGCCTCTGGTGTTCCAGGTGGCCATGGGCGACGACAATTGTTTACCATCAGGTGATCCGTCTGCTCGTTTACCGGCTTATGCCATAGAAAAGATACATAAATGTAAAGGGACATTTTCTAAAAACTCCTGCGTGTCACAAACTCCTTATTATAACTCTGTAGTAACGAGTTGACGCGTTAAATTATAGTTTTAGGGTTAAAATACAATGCGCGTTTACATTTACAAACGTTATTTTTCATAATTCGCCATACTTCGAAGTTAATCAACTGGTTTCAAGCTACGCCATGGGCCTATCTATATTTATGAGTAGCATGCTAGTCAATAATTTCTAATTACAAGTTTGAAATTGCCAATACGTCTTTGAAAATGCGTAGTGATTAATGCTCAAACCTTATCCGTGTGAGATCAGCTTGATCAGATTGATCAGCAGTGGCCACTTATAGGCTCTTGATGTACGGTTGAGAAATGGCTGCTGCTACTATAATATGTCTAATAACTTATTTTTGAGGAGGGATAGTCATCCAATGACTTGCCGGCCGGGTGAGACGAGAGATAGTGTCTCTTACTGACTAAAAACCACCTCGTTCATAAACCTGCAACCCGTTTGGTCTTCCGCGGCTATGTATAGTTTGACGAATAATGACGTTTTAATATTATGGGAAATAATGTTTGTTTTCATAGCATAACAAAACTGTGGAATGATCTGTCGTCGGCGGTATTTCCGAACCGATGCGACCTTCAACCCTACGAGTAAAGAGCGTATTCCTTTTTAAAAGGCCGGCAACATACTGCGAGTCCTCTGTTGTGTGTCGGGTGTCCATAGGCGGCGCTAAAAATCTTTATTAGATAATGATAGAAGATGTATAAACAAAAATTCATTCAAATTAGTTCAGCCGTTTAGGATAACTAACCTAGAAACCGACTGCAGCGCCATCTGCCGGGCTGATTTGTGAATCAGCCCTTGAACACACACAAAAAAATTCATCAAAATCGGTCCAGTCGTTTGAGAGAAGTTCAGTGATATACACACTCACAGAAGAATTATATACATATATCAAGATTTTTTATGGTATTAGCCGGTAAACGAGCATACGGATCATCTGATAGTAAGCAATAGGCAGCAATGCACTTGTTACTTGTCCTCTAGTGTTGCGGGTGTATAGACGCCAATTGCTTACCATCAGGTGATCCGTCTGCTCTTTTGCCGTCCAACGCCATAAAATAGGTACTTACAATAGCTATTTCAAAAATTACTTTTCAAAATCAAAACATCTAGTACTGAAGTACCTTATTAACTTTCTGTCTTTATTATTTATTCAATAAAGACTACAGTTTTCTGCTGCTAAAGAAAAAGGTTGTTTTTTATGGCATTAGCCGGTAAACGAGCAGACAGATCACCTGATGGTAAGCAATCGGCGTCGCCCATGGACACCTGTAACACCAGAGGCGTTGCAAGTGCGTTACCGGCCTTTTGGGGATTAGGAGTTTGATGATCGTTGGGGTTTCAGGGAGATTGAGGAAGGGTAGGGTAATTGGGCCTCCGGTAACCTCACTCACACGACGAAACACAACGCAAGCGTTGCTTCACGTTGGTTTTCATAGCTTATGACCGCGGATTCGCCCGCGTTCACGTGTGATAAAAGTAGCCTATTAATATTACAGACATAATCTACTCCTATTCCATATTTCATCCCGATCCCCGTCCTTTGTTCTTTTCCCATAACATAACAACACGCCTTTTATCCCCAAAAGGATCGGCAGAGGTGCACATTACGGCACTGAATACCACTGTATAATGTAACACCCACTTTTCACTATTTATAGACTCCCATGTAATAGGGGGTGAGCCTATTGCCATATACCGGACACATTTCCAGACTCCGTGCTACTACTGAGGTTTTTACAAACCCAGTAATGCTTTGCCCGGCAGTCGCAGTTGCGAGCATATAAAGCCAATGAGACAGTCCTTTTATCCTCTCGAAGAAAATCAAGAAACAAAAGTAAAATTACCGAAAACGGGATCTGAATCCCTTAAAAATTACACCTAACATGTCGACAACCTCGCCAACTCGAAATGATTGCATGCAAGTGTCATTAGGAGCCATTAAAATGAAAATTATTTTTTCAAAATCCCACTTCGCGTGTAGTATTAAGTTTAAATTAAGTTTGGTAATTTTAAGTGATTAGTTTCAATTCGTTCATTATGTATGATTACTGATGAGTGTAGCGGATGAGTGGATGTTGGTACGGTTAGCGAGTTAGAGCTCTTGGATTCGAAGTCAGGTGGAGCTACTCTGTATTGTTCACCTTTTCGGGCAGACCTGAAGAGACAAAGAGTGTCCAGATGGTATTGTATGCTTCGGAAATGAAAAACTAGTCATACATACATAAATACATAACTTAACGCCTTTCTCCCATGGGGGGTAGGCAGAGACTATAGAACGTCAATTACTACGATTCCTACATACCTCTTTCGCTTCATCAACAGTCATCGATCTTTTCATGCATGCTCGTCGGTTAAGGGTACTTTTAATTTGGCCCTTCTTTAATGTATCGCCAGTCTGGTCAGAATATGTCCGATGTCTAAGGCGCCCTCTACCGACGGCCCCATTCATACCTGCTTTGTATACTTCTTTTGTTACTCTACTTTCATCCATCCTTTCTACATGAAAATTTAGTCATTTGTAAGAATTTTTAGGTCCCACGTTTTAAGCCCCACATCCCTGGCACACCCTTTGCTACACTCTGACTTCATGCCTTTCCATCTCCAAAGGGGTAAGCTGCGGAAGACTTAACGGGTTAGAGGGGTTCCGGGCTCCAAGTGCAGGAGTAGGAACGGGGTGGTTTTTAGTCAGTAAGAGTCTGACACTCCCTCCCGCCTCACCCAGGCAGGAGAAGTCCTTCTATGATTTACCCCCTCAAAAAAAAAAGTAACAGAAAATTGCCTATTTGCACACACTATACAATACCAAATTCCGTCTACTGACTACTGAGTATACACCTCTCATATAACACTTAGTCTGACTCAAGAATCGGACTAGACTAGACAAGATTTTCTATTTAACTTTATAAAAAAACTAAATTTATTATTTGATTGCTCACATTTGTAATTACTGCCAATTAGATTACGTTTGCTAATATAATTATGCCTTGTGGCTATGACATATAACATAATTGCTACTCATATAACATCTACCTCTAAATAAATACATTAGTATAAGATAATTTATTATGTACTAGCTTCTGCCCGCGATTTCGTACGCGTAATCCCATTTTTTCCCGTCCCCGTTCGTGATTTTAGGTAAAAAGTAAAAAAATATTTGGGGAAAAAGTATGTCGGTCTCCTGGCTCTAAGCTACCTCCCTACCAATTTTCAGCCAAATCTATTCTGCCGTTCTTGAGTTATAAGTGGTGTAACTAACACGACTTTCTTTTATATATATAGAAGATGTGTTTCAAATATTATGAGTCATATGATGAAAAAAAACCTTATCCTAGCTGCTGCCGTTACACCTGCACTGATGGTAGCGTGATGTTTAATAACCTATACAAGGTGTTGTTTTAAAGCCGCGTAATTTTCTAGGAGGTAACTCGGCTATCCATTCTGAGTCCGAATCAATAAAAAAATAGGTAAACATTTTTCATTTTTCTGAAATTACTGAAATCCGTAAGTGCAAAGTACACGCCGTCGTCTTGTAACTAGCTTTATAACGCGGCTTAACACAGAAAAACTCAAACACGTAATTGATATTATTCCTAATTCCATAAAACTCCAATAAGAAACATTGCTATCGCTTATTCTAAAATACTGTCGAACTTAAACGATTTATTATAGGCGTGTTTTTAACTACTGGCCCTAAACTTTCTCTTACATTAAACCTTTATGATTTCTGTGACATGCCCCCGAGTTTTCTCGGTCACGGCTTTAAAACTGTACTTTGTATTTATACAGCCTTTAGCCTTTCCTCGATGAATGGATTATCATACACAAAAACAATTTTCATTCACAATCACATCTCTGGTAGACCGCCCTTACCCTGTCGTATGTCTAAACGTGGATCCACGCGAGACATAGTGTATTTTCTATTGTGTCTCATATACAGGCGTTCAAGCGGTTCAGGCAATCTATCAACTCGAAAAAAACTAACCAAACCAAATCTTTGTCCACAGATTTCAACCAAAGAATGCCATAAACACCAAAGATGGCAACAAAATCAAAAACACTCCTACTACTAATAATAACAAACTTTATAATCGCACAAACACAGTTAACATCAGAAGAAATTAAAACAATAAAAGACAGCGAAGAAATTACTGATGACACAACAACGGTAGTAGAAGAAGATGATGTTAGAACTACAACAGAATTTAGCGTAACTCCAGAAGATGTAAAGGATAAAGAAGATGAACAGGAGAGTGCTGAGACGGTGACTGAAGAAACCAGTGTGGATGTCACTGCACCAAGCTCTTCGAATGTGGTCGATGATATTGGAACTCTTGCTTCGAATTTAAGTAACAATATTGAAGCGGTTACTAAGGTAAGTGATAATAGGGGGAGTACTATAGCCACACTAGCCATAGCACAAGCTACAAGGATTTAGACCATCGATTAATAGAAACCAAGAAACAGACAGCTCTGAAAAGAGCTATAATTAAAGGAATGACGGCACAGAAAGAAAGTTTGTAAAAAGTGACACAGAATTAGAATGTTACCACATCAAAAGCCGTAGCGTCGGTCGATAGTAGAATGAATAAGTCAACATCGATCGACCTAGTCAAGCTTCCTGTTGTCGTCCTGACCGTCCGATCAACGTCGACTGAAGCAATCGACCGATTGGTTAGTTAATCGGAATCCGTCGACAATTAAAGCTACTACACCAATCAATCAACACCGAGTGATGTCGATCGATTGATGTGGTAACACCCTGAATATAATTTTTGAAGTTGATTTTTGGAAACATGTTTGTTAAAATTAATTATTGAATAAGGCATGGTTACAAAGTTGGTAGTTATTTTTGATATTGTAACAATAAAAAGGAGACTTAAAGAAAGACTAGTGTGCTGCGGTAAAATAACTCTATTTTTATGGAATAAACCAGTAAACGAGCAGACGGATCACTTGATGATAAGCAATCGGCACCGCCCTTAGACACCTGAAACACCAGAGGTGTTACACAATGTAACTATATGTATCTATAAATTACATGATCGTAGGGACCAATGTAACTATACGTATAAGTTACATGATCGTAGGGATCAAAACCAAATTCTTTTATCACAGAGAGATCATCAGGATTATTTTAACTCATTAAGATACTTTTAATGAATACTTTTTTAGTATTCACAAAACAAAATAAATCAAAGTCACCATTACATTTACGTAATCCAATAAAATTTTGCATAAAGGAGATTTAATAAGCGTTATCTAAATTGTTTAATCAAAATGCTGATAAAACATGTAATTGTTCAAAAATACATTTTGTAGACAATGGAAAGACGATTGCAGTCAAATTATGAAAAGGGTAGTAATAAAAGATCCAACAAAAAAAGAAGAATTGGGATGATGACGGGGTACAAAAATTAAAAATCTATTTAGTCCGTAAGTTAGGTAATGAAAAAATATTACACACGTGTTTTTTTATTTTCTCGTATAATAAAATAAATACTTAGATAAAACGAATCAAAGTTTAGAAGTGGGAGTTAAAACGTCATTTCTACGTATAAAATGTAAGTACATAGAAATGACGTCACGCGACATTTCAAATCAATCTATTATTATATATCAACTAGCGGACCCGACAGACGTTGTCCTGTATATCCACTTGAATGTGTAAACAAAATTTCATTCAAATTAGTTCAGCCGTTTAGGATAACTAACCTAAACTCCGACTGCAGCGCCATCTGCCGGGCTGATTTGTGAATCTAAACCATCCAGGGCGCCACTCAAACGCATACAGAAAAAATCATTTAAATCGCTCGAGCCGTTTAGGAGGACTTCAATGACATACGCACGTACAGCAGAATTATATATATAAAGATATCATCGAGACTAGGTATTTGTTTCAGTAAGAAAATAAAAAATATGTGTCTAGTGTTTTAAAGTAATCTACCAGACGGACATTAAAATAAAAATTAGGCATCTACCCTATTGTCCTTACTCAAAATATTAAATCTACTGCCTAAAATACTAACTTTCCGACTACCTACTTTCGTGCGAATAAAAATGACGAAACGGCGGAACACTACGACGACGTGCTCCATCGTAGACCGCATCATCGCGTACCACCAGGCGAGATAGTGGTCAAACGTCGATCCATTAAATATAAAAAAAGAATAAGATACTGAAATCTTAGAAAATTAAACATGACTGTTTATAGTTTTCTATCAGCATACATTACGTTTTACTGAAAATTATGACTGCTTCATTGGCCGAGTGGTCGCAAATGCGACTGCCGGGCAAGGGGACTCGGGTTCGATTCCCGGGTAAAGTATTATTATTTATTATGTACAATGTAACATCCACTTTTCACTATTTATATTATGAGTCCCATGTGATAGGGGGTGAGCCTATTGCCATATACCGGGCACAATTCCAGGCTCCGTGCTACTACTGCGAATTTTTAAAAACCCCAGTAATCCTTTGCCCGACCCGGGAATTGAACCCAAGACCCCTTGCCCGGCAGTCGAATTGTGCCACCACTCGTAGTGTGCGCCAGTGCGCCAGTGTACCACTCGGCTAACGAGGTAGTCTCATTTAAGGTCCAATTATAACTTTCGTGAGACATACCATATTAATCATTATGTTTTTCGGCTTACTAACGAAATAATTCGATGAGGAACTCGACTAGTTTCACTGTCGCGCTGCTACTATCGCCAATCGCGGGTCGCAAAATGCTGCTTATAAATATGAGCCTCTAGCATGGCTTGAAACTAGTCTAATACCTCGTCAAATAATTACGTGAGTAAGCCGAAAATATAAATTAAATTTAAGGTGCATTTCCCAATAGGATATTTGCTACTGCCAATTCATTAAACAGTCAACTTCTGACAGCAGAGCTGATTGAAATATTAGATCTGACGCCCTATTAGCGCCAGTCGCCGTTGAAACCCGAGATCTTGCAAAAAAACCAGTGAAACATTATAAACTGTAATATTTCAGACTGAGACAGTGCAAATGACAGCCACAACGAGGGCTATGGAGGAGGAACCGTCCCCGAAGATGCAGGAGACGGAAGAAGATGAATCGTCCGGTCAGAGGAACCCTAAGGCAGATAATGGTGAGAAATACATTTAATATTGTGGTTTACCATCATCATGATTATGATGACGATGACTGCACGGTTGGTGCGGTGGCTGGGCAATCGGCTGCCGTGCAACGTGTCGCGGGTTCAATTCCCGCACGGAGCAACACTTTGTGTGATCCACAAATTGTTGTTTCGGGTCTGGGTGTCATGTGTATGTGAACTTGTATGTTTGTAAACGCACCCACGACACAGGAGATAATCCTAGTGTGGTGCAACGTTTAAAAAAAAATAGATTGAATTTCTATCATAGTAGTGAGCCTTCAACTAGTCCTTTTTGATTTTAATTCTTGATAGTCCACTCGACGTATTGTAACGACCGAATAGAATACATATTCCACAACAACCACTCTTGTCGCGGGTGTCTTTGGCGCCGACTAAGGACACATTTGACAGAGACCGGGCAGCAGCGCTCTCTGATAAACCTGAACCTTTTAATACTACGATGCCAACCCGTCTGTCTAAAGTACAGTATATGGCAAACCCTTTTATGTAGGAAGAGACTTTTTTTTAAGGGGGAAAATCATCGAATGACTGCTCCCGCCTGGGTGAGGCGGGAGTGTCAAACTCTTATTGACTAAAAAGCACCCCGTTCCTTCTCCTGCACGTCGAGCCGGAGCCCCGGTTACCCGTTAGGTTCTCCGCGACATGTAGAAGAGACTACAGTAGACTTCCAAGGGCTAATTGATGTTACGGAGCCGCGAAAGGGATAAACGGGTTGCCGGGGCTCCGGCTCAAAGAGCAGGAGCAGGAGTAAGAGTCTGACACTCCTTCTCGCCTAACCCAAGCCGGGAGAAGCCATTGGATAATTTTCCCCCCTCAAAAAAAAAAAGACCCATTGATGTTAATGTCGACTTCTCCACACAATATATGATGTAACGTCACAATAACATCTCATAAAGATCCAAAATTTTCTGTTTCAGACCCAAAACCAGCGCTAGACAAGAGGAACTTCGACACCCAACCTCCTTTCAAACCGCAGACAACTCGCTCCGTTGTCAGGAGCTGGCTACAAGACTGCTGCGTTAGACCACCAGCTGGTATCATGGTGCCTTTGAGAGCAGCTGCCTTGGCGAGGGCTTTAGCTGTATGGAGCGACCTGACTGTACCAGCGCTGAATTTAAGCCACGTTTTAGTTATGGGGTATGATTCAAATGGTAAGTATATGTTGGTACTACCTATATCCGCGCTGTTTCACCCGCTGTGCTCGACTCCTAATCATCGTAGCGTAATGTTTTCTAGCCTATAGCATTCCTCGATAAATGGGCTATACAATACAAAAAGAATTTTTCAAATCGGACTTGTAGTTCCTGAGATTAACGCGTTCAAACAAACAAACATATTCAACTTCACTACATAAATACATAGTATAAAACAAAGTCGCTATCCGCCGTCTGTCTGTCCCTATGTATGCTTAGATCTTTAAAACTACGCAACGGATATTGATACGGTTTTTTTAATAGATAGATTGATTCTTAAGGAAGGTTTATTATGTATAATACATGCATATTGCACACGTACGAAGCCGGGGCGGGTCGCTAGTTATTAACTAAAATCGCGGGTTACTCACGTGAACATACTAAGATAAAAGCTCTACTAGTTTCGAGCTACAGAGGGGCTCATAAGAGCAGCAGGGGTAGGGAGAGGTGCTCATTACGGCACTTAATGCCACTGTACAATGTAACACTCACTTTTCAATATTAAAAAGCTCTACTAGTTTTGAACCACAAAAGGGTGCTTCCTCATGAGCAGCGTGCGCGGTCGCGGCGAAGTCGCCTAGCCTACTGTTCATCTTTATATCTATATAAATAAAAATGAATTTCCGTTCGTTAGTCTCACTAAAACTCGAGAACGGTTGAACCGATTCGGCTAATTTTGGTCTTGGAATGTTCGTGGAAGTCCAGGGAAGGTGTAAAGGCAACAAAAATATTTTTAGGCAGTACGAAGTTTGCCGGTTCTGCTGGTAATAGTATAAAATAAGATTTTTAATCTCCACTGCTAGTCTTGCAGTGGGTAGCACTTCAGCTATGGTGGAAATTTTATTAAGAACTAGCTTTTACCCGCGGCTTCGCTCGTATCACAAAAGGATAAAAAGTGGCCTATGTGACATACACACAGCGCCATCTATACCAATAATTTCGTTTTCCCTCGAGAATATCAAATTTTTTCGAGATAAAAATTATCCTATTATTTAATCTAGACTTCTAACTTCACGTCTGCAAACATTCAAAGTAATCGGTTGAGTAGTTACGGCGTGAAAGTGGAACAAACAAACAAACTCACTTTCCGATTTATAATATTAGTAAGGATACTTGATTAATAAATAATCGAGCTTCTATTCTAAACTAAAGCATTTGATTCAGAATTTATGATTCAATAATGCTGAAGCACTATTCACTAACGTAAGCAAAAATACAGACGAGAAAATAAAACTGTCTAACTAGGATTTTTCTTAATATTTGTCTGATAACTGTTGGAACCTTGACGATCACCTAGTAAATGGCACCAGGTGATCGTCAATTTCAGGGACACTCTGTGTTATAAGTCGCATGTAATAGAGGATGAGCCTATTGTCATATACCGGGCACATTTCCGGACTCCATGCTACTACTGAGTTTTTTTTAAACCCAGTAATACTTTGTCTGACCCGGGAATCGAACCCGAGACCCTTTGTCCGGCAATCTCACTTGCGACCATCGGCCAACGAGGCAGCACATACAATTTTATTTGTGTTAAAATTATATAATTGTGTAAATCTATTGAGAGATAGGTTACTAAGACACAAGCATCAATAAAAACAAGAAAACCGATAAAATTCAACAACAATACAAAGTTGTAAATAACGATAATTATACAATAAACACCTCTGTTAAGTTGACAAAGTAACGAGTCTGACATCAAACCCGGAACTTTACGTCACTCAGGACATTAGAACGTCCTTCAGAGTTTTATAATAACAAACATGGCGTTACCTATATTTTTTGTATATTATTATATAAAATGATTTATAATCAGTAATCAATATTACTATAATAATGGCATGAGCTATATATAACAATAGAATTACGTAAATAATAAAAAAAATACTTTAGCTGTGTAAGTGCGAATTCGATTCCGAGTTCTTTTAACTTCAGTAGTCCGCCGAACCTTTACTTTGTATTTTAAAAGCTATGGGGGGTAAACGGCGCGACGAATTTTTTTTTGGGACAAGCCTGCCACAGCCTCCCAAAACCACTACAACTCCTGTGCACCAGGATCTACAGTAGATACAACCATGCAAACACCGGAACACTGAAGTCCGGCACGTCCCAGGGACATGAGTAACTGTCTTGGTTCCCGCAACGAAGTGAATCAGAAGATATTATAAGGAGAGAAGAGAAAAAAAAAGCCGCAACGAATGTAAAAAATTCCCGGGGCTTCGGCTGGAAGTGCAGCAGAAGTAGGGTGGTATTTACTCAGTAAGAGTTTGACAAACCCTCCCGCCTCACCCAGGTAGAGGAGAAGTCATTCAATGATTTTGTCCGGGAGTAAACGAACACACGGATCACCTGATGGTAAGCAATCAGCGCTGCCCATGGCAACATTAGAGAAGATACAATTGCATTGCCAGCATTTAGGAAAGGTGGGACAGAGTCTACTGTACCTCTCGTGTCATTCAGACGTCCGCATATAACTAAAGCGTTGATTCACGGCAGTTTCCTGTGAGGCCGTGGTATCACTACAGTGGAACCGACCCATTCGTGACCAACTATCGGTCTCCCATGTAAAGACAAAAATACATAATACTAGCTTCTGCCAGCGGCTTCGCCAGCGTTATCATGGAAAAAATAGCCTCGACAAAGAAATGGATTGTGATTTGTGTGGTGTTATTTTTGTCTTTATTCTGGCGACAGCGACGCCTTTAGGCTTAAATTTGCGGGATATTGTTATTGTAGTTTTTTAATGTCTTTATACAGATCATAATCTACCCCTATTCCAAATTACATCTCGATCCCTTCAGTTGTTCTGACGTGAAGAAGTAACAACCAAAGAAACAAACAAACATTCGCATTCTTTGAAATCTAAATTAAACTTACCTTTTAAGACAGTAGGTAGCATGTAGTCATATTTAAATTAAAAATATTAAATACGTTCAGTGAATTACATACCTGAAACAAACGAAGACAGAGATTTAATATCATGAAGACAATAGAAATATAAAGGTGCTCCCTCACAGGCAGCATTCGCGTGTAATGTAACGTTACAGATCTGAGCATTACATCAGTGAAGGAGGCGAACTGAGCATTACAATGCGCACCTCGTAATGATACAATGTGTAATATCTTTTATAGAAGCATTTTTTTTCTTGTATAGAAACACTGTTTTATATGGATTGTCAAAATACATATGTGAGGACCATGTCAGACTAAAGATATTTGTTTTCTCTTGGTTTTGTTTTTTTTATTTTAGTACGTTCTGTTATTTGTATGTTGCGTCAGGTATGTCTTTACATTATTCTCACATGTGTGTACAATATTGGAATATGTATCAGAGCAGTGTAAAACAGACGTTTTTTAAAAGAGTAACGAATGGAGTTTCTTGCTCGTTCTTCTCCACTCGAATCGCCATTTTGGAACGAGCGCCTAGCTTCACTGACGGACAGACTGACAGACTATTATTTATTTCATATTTGTTGACGTTTCAAAAGTATCAAATTATGGTTTAATTGAAATAAATGCAATGACTGCCTCGGTGGCCGAGTGGACGCAAGTGCGACTGCCGGGTAAGGGGTCTCGGGTTCGATTCCCGAGTCGGGCAAAGTACTACTGGGTTTTAAAAAAAATCTCAGTAGTAGCACGGAGTCTGGAATTGTGCCCGGTATATGGCAATAGGCTCACCCCCTATTACATGGGACTCATAACATAAATAGTGAAAAGTGGGTGTTACATTGTACAGTGGCATAATGTGCACCTCTGCCTACCCCTTCGGGGATAAAAGGCGTGATGTTATGTTATGTGAAATAAATGCTTTTGAGTTTGAGTTTGTCTTGTGGTTCGAAACTAGTAGAGCTTTTTTCAGTATATTCACGTGAGTAACCCGCGATTTTTAATTAATAACGTGTACACGTTTCTCTTTGAGTTATAAACGATACTAGCTTTTACCCGCAGCTTCGCTCGCGTCACAAAAGGTTAAAAAGTAGCCTATGTGACATATACCAATACACACAGCGTCATCTATACCAGTATTTTTGTTTGCCCTCGGGAATATCAAATTTTTCCGGGTTAAAAAGTACCCTATTATTTAATCCGGACTTCTAACTTTACGTCTGCAAAATTTCAAAGCAATCGGTTTAGTAGTTACGGCGTGAAAGCGGAACAAACAAACAAACAATCAAACAAACTCACTTTCAGATTTATAGTAAGGATTTGTTGGCGCTTCAAAAGTATCAAATTATTGTTTAATTGAAATAAATGCTTTTGAGTTTGAGTTTGTCTTGTGGTTCGAAACTAGTAGAGCTTTTCTCAGTATATTCACGTGAGTAACCTGCGATTTTTAGTTGTTCCGATGTACCCGTTTCTCTTTAAGTTATAAACGATATCATTATGTTTTGTGAACACAGATAGACGGAAAAAACATCAGGTACAACGTCACAAGCTCCTTATAATAGTGTCGAGGCAAATTTAGATTCGCTTCGGTCTTTAAAAGCATGCATAATTATGTTACACGGTGGCTTTGCATTGTGATCAACATATTTTGTATACATATCTTATGTGTTACTTGTCACATTCTTGAGAATACATTTCAATGAAACGCTACATTGTTAATGCATATTTTTATTTAGGAATCATAATAATATAAGACTACGCACCAAAAAGTCCGCTTTTTTCTTTCTTAAATCTAGAAAAACCGCTAAGTTATGTGACGTGACGCTACGTTTTGGTTTTCACTAACCCATGAGCGACATCTAACAGTACAATTGTTGTGTACTCGCCAACCTAGTCAAATTTAATACTTTTTTTTTGGAACTGTCAAAACCGAGAGTTTTCTATGAATTTTGTACGAATTGTGTTTTGTGACGTCGTGAATTTTCATTTTTTTTTAAATTGCTTGAACAATGCTAAATTTAAGTTGGTCATCATTCATCAATTATTGAAAGTGTAACTATTTTTTAATATTTTATTGTATTGAACAGTCGAAATAATTTATTTTTGATGAAGGCAAGTACACAATTAAAGGATTACATACAGCGACTGTCGCAGATCTTTATTAGATCGCCAAAAATGTTTATATCATTATGAAACCGCCTTACGTACTACATATTCGAAAACAAAAGAAACGCACGCAACTCAATGATTTAAACAAGGTGTGAAGAATCAGTCAAAAAAAGTATTTGTACCAAACATTTAACATATATTTTTTTGAATACTTCATTTCCAAATCTGTCGTTAACCTTTACGTAAGTCGCGGAGAACCTAACGGGTGACCGGGGCTCCGGCTCGAAGCGCAGGAGAAAGAACGGGGCGGTTTTTAGTCAGTAAGAGTCTGACACTCCCTCCCGCCTCACCCAGGCGGGAGTAGTCATTCGATGATTTTCACCCCTTAAAAAAACCCTTTACGTAAAGAGGTATTCTTTAACATATTAATAAAACATTCCATGGCAGTTCCCTGCTAGACTATAGGTTCCCTCTACATAAGTGCGGTTAATATGATCTTTACGCAGACGAATTGAAAATCGCAGTGTAATAGGTTAGGCTTCGGGATCGCTGGACGATCTCCGACCACCGTAAGCACGGGCCTGCGGACGGCGAGCACGGGTGACTCGCCGCCCGACCAGAACCAGGCCCGAGCGTACGGTGCGATGCTTTCCGCGCGCGCCTCAAGGAGCCATCAAACCACCACAGATGGGGTCCAACAGGGCTGATATACGGAACCGCAGAAGACTAAGCGGGTTGCCAAGGCTTCGGCTCCAAGTGCAGGAGTAGGAACGAAGTGGTTTTTATTCAGTAAGAGTCTGACACCGCCTCATCCAGGCAGGAGAAGTCATTCGATGATTTCTCCCTTTAAATAATAATCAGACCACCACCGATGGGGCCTAGTAGGGCTGATGCCCGATACGGAGCGGAAGTCTTAACGGGTCTCCAGCTCGAAGAGCAGAAATAGGATCGGGGTGGTTTTAAGCAAGTAAGACTCTGACACTCCCTCCCGCCTCACCCAGGCAGGAGAAGTCCTTCGATGATTTTTTCCCCCCTTAAAAAAAATAATCAGACCACCACAGATGGGGCCTAGTACGGCTGATGCTACGGAGCCGCGGAAGACTCTGATACTTCCTGTCGCCTCACCCAAGGCGCAAGAAGGCATTGGATGATTTTTCTCCCTCAAAATAAAAACCGTCGTAAAACACACTGCACAGTATTTAACCAAGTTTGAAATAAGAGGTTCTCATTCACTCGTTCTTTGATTGAATATTCTCGCGAGTTTAATTTGTTTTTATGTGGCAATCATTGCTTTTTGCTCGGTATAGGTAGTCGGTAGTAAGTGGGGCGGAACAGATACTCATGTATTACATAATTAGCGTCAAGGTCCCTGCCTACCTTTCTCAAGAACTTGGGTGTTGGGTTTTCCTTACGTATTCGATTTGTTGATAATAATAGAATTTGTTGTATAGCTCCACTTATTTCGGTTAATAGGCTAAGAAACATTTGTACGTAAAATACGTTTTGATAGAAAAAGTACTAAAAAATCGAACGCCCGTCGATTCCCAAACATGGCCGAAAACCATGCTAATTGAGTACTTTCCGTAATCAAAAATAAATTATTTCGTCTGTTCAATACAATAAAACATTAAAAAATAATTACACTTTCATTAATTAATTTTATGCCCAACTGAATTTTAGTATAACTCCAGCAAATTTTTACAAAATTAGTATTCTGTTTGACACTAAAAAACGTGACGTCACAAAACACAATCTCGTACAAAATTCATAGAAAACTCTCATTTTTAACAGTTTGAAAAAAGTATTGAATTTGACTAGTTTGCAAGTACCCAATTTTGAAGAACATTCCGACACACATGCTATTAAGTAACAAGTTCACAATTGAAGCATTCTTCTGTGCTTGAAATTAGTATATGTAAGAGTACCTCTTTTTTTAAGGGAGGAAAATCATCGAATGACTGCTCCCGTAGGGGTGAGGCGGAAGGGAGTGTCAGACTCTTACTGATTAAAAACCACCCCGTTCCTTCTCCTGCACGTCGAGCCATAGCCCTGGTAACCCGTTAGGTTCTCCCTCTAGGAAATACACATTTGACAGAGACAGGGCAGGGGCAGCAGGGATCTCTGATAAACCTGTACCTTTTAAACTGCTATGTCCAATCCGCCTGCTAAGCGCTTAGCAGTCGCTAAGTGTCTATATTATGACAAACTCCTATTAAGCCTGTTAACGTAGATGTCTATGTGGACACGAGCTGATTATGATAATATCAAATATGTATTGTCAACAGGAGTCAACTGGAGATCGAGACACAACCTTCAGCCGTCCAGTTCTTCAAGTGAGAAGACCGTTGCAGAAGCGTTATCCAAGCTCCTACGAAAGTATCAGGTACAACTGAATCCTATCCTACTACATAAATCTGTTCCACCATCTTCATCGACGTCCATTGCTGAAGATAAGCCTCCCTCAATGACTTCTGGATAGTCAGATTGGTAGCGACCTAAATCTAGCGACCCCCTGCAACCTTTATCAGGCTGTCTATTCTATCTTACTTCCTACAATTATTTGTAAATGCTAAATTCTGATGGATTTATGTTTGTTAGCCATTTGAGCAAAAACTATTGAACGGATTAAGATGAAACTTGTCACGAATATAGAAGAACACCAGAGGCGTTACAAGTGCGTTACCGGCATTTTGGGGATTAGGAGTTTGAGGATCGTTAGGGATTCAGGAATTGGGGAGATTGGGAAAGGGGAGGGTAATTGGGCCTCCGGTAACCTCGCTCAGACGACGAAACACAACGCAAGCGTTGCTTCACATCGGTTTTCTGTGAGGCCGTGGTATCACTCCGGTCGAGCCGGCCCATTCGTGCCGAAGCATGGCTCTCACACACCTAGTCCTACTAATGTTTATTACTCCTATAAGTCAAAACGGCGACAGGAGCAGATTATAGTCTGAAATAACACATAGGCTACTTTTCATTTCACGGGAACACCACGGGAAAACCACTGGTAGAAGCTAGTATCAACATAATCCCAAGAATTCCACTCAAGCTTGACACCTCATACTATTTCATTGTTCATTACCAAGACCATCTCTTCCCCAGGGTGTGAACACAGATACAACGAATGACGGTACGATGAGAGCTTTATCGACAGCAGCCAAGCTGGTACCGTACGACAGTGCTCTCTTCATCATCACGGACAAAGGACCTGGAGATCCTCAGCGACTGCCACTAGCTTTGAGGGCGCTGGTTGAAAAACGGCTGAAGGTAATACCAAAAAAACCATAGCATTTTTATAGTCAAACTAGCAGGTTGATCATCTGATGGTTCCCGAATGATAACAATTGTGTTTCTTTTCTTATTAAATATTAACATTACGTAAGCAAATATGTCCAAGTAAAACTACTAAACTGCCATCTAATAATCCTCATCAGGTCTACACAATATGGACAGATCCAGCTCATCCATCACCACAGTCTGAAGAAGCTCTCCAGGAGTTGAGGAATGTCTCCAAACACACGGAAGGAGAGGTCATGCCGTATCCACTACAAGTTATGGTATGTTTATTTTTATATTGGAAGTCGATGGCAAGCTTATGGCTTCACAGATAGTATGAGGCATGATAGTAAGCAATTATGCAAATCAACAGATCGGGTAATACTCGAGATAAATCTAAAAATTTAACGCGGATGATTAAATTCGCGGATGGCAAAAATGTAGTAAGGAAATACACACACAGTAACACATCAACAGCCTGTAAGTGGCCACTGCTGACTTAAGGCCTCTTCTCACACGGAGAAGGTTTAAGCATTAATCAGCCCTCTTGCTCTATGCTGGTTGGCGATTTCAAACTTATAATCCCAGGTTTCCTCACGATGTTTTCCTTCACCGTTTGTCAGTAGTGTATCTAGAAAGTACATATAACTCGGAAAAGTTACATTGGTACTAGTCAACTTGTCGTTGGTAGGACCCCGCAACCTCATGCATGAGAAGCGAGTTACTTAAACCTCCGAGTCACTACGATAATATTAGAAATACATAAATATAAAAAATCTCAGACAACTTCAGATTGATCGTTTATAGAATATGGCTGAATTGATGAGCTGTAATGATCCTGTATAATTAATAACGAAATCTAATGACTAAAGAAAGTTTTACTATACATAGGAGGATGTTTACATTATATAATTGCTACTAGTTTTCTTGCTGCGGTTTCACCTGCTTTGTAAAAGGAAAATAAAGTAACCTATTTCAAGGTACAAATATCATACTATAAAAGCCCTCACTTTCGATGTAAAGGAACTAACAAAAGACGATAAAAAATAAGTCCTCACATTTTTGCATCAGCTAGACAAAATATACGGCTGAAGTACTCAACCCTCATTTTGTTACAGGACATGGAAGGATCCGCCAACTTGGCTGCAGAGACTGAGCTGGAGCAATGGAACCCCTTGGACCCTAAGCAGGGCAGACGAGGCAGATTGCATAACGACTTGGGCCTGGAGAAATTTGATGTAAGTATAGCCGGTTTTACATTCATTAAGGGTGCAAAACTACACCGCTCGTTGGTTGGTTTACTAAAGCGACCGACAAGCAAGGGTATCGGATGCAATTGGGACATACCGAAAATTTATTTGAATGGAATGGTGGACGAAGTGTGTAGCGACTGAAACAAACACATAGAAATGTACTGAGCAAACTACGGAGCCGCGACCGGCGAATTGCACCGGCGCGGCGGGTGAAACAAATGAAAACGGCGCCAGTCTTTTGAAACTTGGAACTATACTCGGAATTTTAATTCGATTCCAGATTTGACAATTTCAGTGTTGCAACGTTATGACAAGTACTAAATAGTGACGTTGCGAAATTATTCGGAAATGCAATATTTCTGGATCGATTCTTCTCGTTTATAATTTTACTCTCGTAAACTAAGTATATCAGGAAATTAAATATCTCTGAACCGATAATTTAGTTTTGACCATTAATTAACGATCTGAGACCTTTCTTTTATAATTGTGCGTGAAATAAATAAAAAATGTAATCACGAAGGAACATGACAAATAAAACAGATAGATGTATTATGGTAATAAGTTATTTTATAAATTGTCGCCGTCATCGCTATCGCTATCCTGTCACTTTCTGTAACATTTATTATAAAACACACACACTGATTGTTTATCGATTTTTGTGTCCATCACTACACTATTATATGTGGTATCATTATTTCACAAAATGACAGTAGCTATTGTCAAATCTGGAATCTAATTAAAATTCTGACTATAGTATTTTGGCATGGAACCCATAACCTGCGGTAGCCAACATTCACGAAAACGAAAGTTTATTAGGATTTTATTGTTGGTTAGTTTAACTTTTTATAAGGTTGGCCAAAATTCGGAAGTGCATAATACTAAACTTCGCTACTAACTAACATCCTAATCTATTTCTGTCTATCAGCTGCTGTTGGTACGTCGTGGAGGTGGACAAGCCATATCTCTAGGAGTTCCAGTGGAGAACGGAGTTACAGCATTGAGGGTCTTTATCGAGGGAGCCGTAGAACATGCTGTACTGTACCCTCCTAATGATGGTAAGTAGAGACTTTCATGTCGACTAATGGTAGCGGTGACTGTCCAGGCGACACACGTACTTAGGTATCGTAATAAGCTAATGTTCACATGTAAACAGCAGCTCATGTAAAGAGATTGTCCAGTCAACTGATGGTAGCGGCGACTGTCCAGGCGACACACGTACTTAGGCATCCTCATAAGCTAATGTTCACATGTAAACAGCAGCTCATGTCTAGAGATTGACCAGTCAACTGATGATAGCAGTGACTGTCCAGGCGACACACGTAGTTAGGTATCGTCATGAGCTAATGTTCACATGTAAACAGCAGCTCATGTAAAAAGATCGTCCAGTCAACTGATGATGGATCCTCTAAAGACGAGTAAATAGATGCAATAATAGTCCTTAATACACAGGAAGAAGCCTTCAATGCCATATTAAGCAGTCATTAAAAGAATAAAACAAATTACATTGGAAATTATTACAGTCACAGTGGAATGAAATGATGATGATGATGATTATATGAAATGACTATGTTCCGGTGGCAAGCTGTTATGTTTTGACAGGATAATTATGTGTGCCTCGTACATATAATAGTCATATGTACTATCGGTGAAGTTTACGGTAGCACACTTTTTAAGACTTTGACTGCCAATAAAAAACTGTTGAAGGTAATTCCTCCGCTAACGCCGGTCACCGGTAACCCCCATGGCGTTTAACGTGTTAAACAAAATCCTGTAGCATATTCGCAATCCACCGGGCGTTTTCCCTGTGATCGCTCGCGCCGAGTGCATGCGAATATCGCCTAATGATGGTCAACCGCAAACTTTGTTGATTGTACATAATTAGATACTTATATTTAATTGATTACTCGGTATTTTTTGCTTCAATTGAGACAGGTTTTTAGCGAAACATTCTTTAGGGGGTTTGTAATTCAAAATTTTCGGCTATGAATCAACTGCTGCCCTGAGAGTAGGAATTCCCGAAACATCAAGAAGAATTTGGACCAAACTGTATTTTCAGCAAAATATGGATCAACCATTTTTCTGTTTTCTTACAAATTCGTGGGAAACGCTACTTAGTTCAACTTTAATATATTTTCAAAAGTGAAAACTCTGTTACGCTTAAACTACTGAACCGATATCGATAAAAACACAGTTCATAGACAGGATATAGTTAAAAATGGACTTTTGCCATATTTCAGGACAATAAAACCTTGTGATCTTACTTATCAGGCTTCATTCTGTTATGCTAACCACTACATTCTCTGCCCAGCCCCTCAAATCGACCTGTACAACACAACATCAGTGGCCGCGTTCTCGTCCACATCGAGAACCGAGGGTATGTCTCCAAGAGACGTCTACCTGATCTTCCCCGGCACCAAGTATGATTTGGACATGTAAGTATCAAGATCAAATATTGGTATAGCTATATTTTCCAAAGTGACCTTGTATAGCCTCGTACACAAAACTGCGATGCGAATCCGCAACGCAGAAAATTACGATGCGAATTGCTGCGATGCGATTCCGTGCGACAAGGCGTCTCCCAGGATGACCATTCCTTCGACGACCGTCAATCGTACTAAACGTATTTTAAATTGAAAACTAGGTCGTGACATGGATCGTAAAAAGAAGTGTGCACTTCTGTTATTCCTTAGAAGATACAGGAAAAAGGAACAAAGAAGATTTTTGGAAGATAAGATTTTGATGCGCGATGTGTATCAATTCGCAAGTTCTTGCGATGCGTAGAGGGAGCTCGCACATTTTTGTGGTGGGACGTCGCATCGCAGTTTTGTGTACGAGCCTTATAATCCGTTTCATAAGTTCCATGTAATAAGGGAACTTATAAGCTACTGCTTAAGTCTCAAAATGGAAATATCCGTCAGTCTAACCGTCAGTGAAGGTAGGTACTCGTCCCATAATAAGATAAAAGGAGGACCACGAGAGATCAATGTAAAATGTTTAAACAAAGTGCGAGTCCATCTGTCCGCAGCAAATAGCAGTTTGTGTGCTTGTATAGTTGTGTCATCACTTAGAATTGTCAGTAAATAGAGTGAGAGAGAGAGAGAGAGGGGGCGGGAGTGGGACCGCACATAGTCCCATACACAGATAGTCCTATACTTAAGCTTTGTTTCCAAAAATTTCGCATCGAATTTGGCCAAAGTATTTTAGTACTTATTATAGTAATAGTCAAGGCAAGCCTGAATGAATGTCGCGAAGAATCTAACGGGTTACCGGGGCTCCGGCTCGACGTGCAGTAAAAGGAACATGATGGTTTTTAGTCAGTAAGAGTCTGACACTCCCTCCCGCCTCATCCAGGCGGGAGCAGTCACTAATTTTCCCACCTTAAAAAAAAGCCTGAGTGAATAAGTTGCTTATGGGATGACGTGTTCCATCGTAGACCGCATCATCGCTTACCACCAGGCGAGAGAGCAGTCAAACGTCGGCCCTTCAAATAAAAAAGGAAAAAAATATTTATCCTGCACCGCTGACGTCTCGTGTCTGATAACATAACATCACGCCTTTTATCCTCGAAGGACTAGTAGGCAGAGGTGTACATTACGGCACTTAATGTATTGCCATATATCGGGCACAATTCCAGACTCAGTGCTATTACTGAGATTTTTTGAAAAAGCCCAGTAATATTTCGCCCGACCCGGGAATCGAACCCGAGACCCCTTGCCCGGCAGTCGCAATTGCGACCACTCGGCCAACGAGGCAGTGAGTCAGTCAGTCGTGTCTGATATTAAGGTGATAATGACGACGATGATCATAATCCTCGATTATTTCCACAGGTTATCCGTGCTACCAGTAAGTCCGAACAGACCAGAAGTGCAAGCAGCGTACGTAGGCATGTGGCACCTCAGCGTCCGATGTGACACTTGTGACTACCGGCTCATGGTATCAGCCAGAACCCATATACATTTCGACGTGGAGACTGATACTCCTGGTAAGTACTGTATGCTAAGTACCATATGAAAGCTATTGTGAACACTTTTTTTTTTGGGCAAGCCCGCCACAGCCTCCCAAAATCGCTGAAACTCCTGTAAGCCAGGATCTACAGTAGATACAACCATGAAAACACCGGAACACTGAAGTCCGGCGCGTCCCAGGGACATGAGTAACTGTCTTGGATTCCGCAACGAAATAAATCAGAAGCATAGTATAAAGAACACAGTAGGTTATCTAAGGCCGCCCGCCGAGTTATTAGCCTACTCTTGCGTTGATCCCCAGGGTTGTCACTTTTACTTTTAGTTAATATTTTCGAACAAGCAGCACTTGATCTAAATTTATGAAATGAAAAGCATTATTATGATTGAATATTTTATCAATTTATAAATTTAGTAAAAATAAAAAGCTTATAAAAAGATTATTAACTTCTTAAAATAAACTTTAGCTCTATACATAGTATTCAGAAAGTAAATTTTTAGAATACATTTATATGGAAAAATGCGACACGGCCACGCTCTTAACAAATCAGATAAACTGTGAAATAAACAATACAATACCACATTTTCTTATAATATTTAAGTATAGTAGGTAATTACATTTCTGGTTGAGTAGGAACTATGAAGAATGATAAGAGTAAGAATAAGTAAGTAGGTATCTCATCATCAAGTACCTACAAATTATATTATGCTAGAAAAAGTGACTAGCTTACCTTTCCTGTTCAATAGGTAATCTGAACAGAGACAGTTCTGGAATCGATTAATTATTAAGACACCCAAACACACAGCAATACGTTCTTCTACGGTTATCAGACATTTTTTATTTCATTTAACAGTGCCGAAAAGTGATGCGCGCGCGAACCTCGTGCAGTGTTAGCCCTGCCTGGCGCACTGAGAAACAGGTCGAGATTTTGTTAAAGTGTGCGTGCGTCGACGCATAGATACTATGGCGCACACATATAAGCCGCGCGCGGAGCATTTGTATGAAGATAACCTACTTTGTTCTTTATACTATGTCAGAAGATATTAATAGAGGACTGCCGAGTGGTCGCAAGTGCGACTGCCGGGCAAGGGGTCTCGGGTTCGATTCCCGGGTCGAGCAAAGTATTACTGGGTTAAAAAAAATCTCAGTTTTAGCACGGAGTCTGGAATTGTGCCCGGTATATGGCAATAGGCTCACCCCCTATTACACAGGAAACATAACATAAAAAGGTGAAAAGTGGGTGTTACATTGTACAGTGGCATTAAGTGCCGTAATATGCATGTAATGTGTTTGTGTATAATAAGGTTTGGACAGCAACAAAAACCTCCATTCAACTATAGAAATTAAAGTACTAAACAAATTAACTCAACACTTCAACTAGAAACCAAAACATTCCACGATTGTAAATTCATTAAACGATCAAAATGAGTCAAGCAGTATTCGAGTTAAGACCCCACACACATACACACACATACATACAAGTTAATGATAATCATTATTACATAATGACGCGACGGAACATCAAACCCGTTCGGTTATTGAACCAAACAAGCAGACGGCAAAAAAAGTGGTTGAACGTGAATCGAACCTGTGTGTTTTAGGTTCCGTGCTCATCAGAAGTTTTTAACGATAGAATGAAAGTCATGGGGTGACAGCTGAGTTTTTTTTATGGCATAAGCCGATAAACGAGCATACGGATCACCAGATGGTAAGCAATCGGCGTCGCCCATGGGCACATGGAACACCAGAGGCGTTACAAGTGCGTTACCGGCCATTTGAGCATTAGGCGTTTGAGGATCGTGGGGGATTCAGGAATTGGGGAGATTGGGTAAATAAAAAAATAATTGGATAAATTGAGTAAAACACATTTGTGTATGTTTGTTTGTATACTAATCTACAGTCTCCGTAATCCCTAAATCTCACACAATCCTAAAATTCCCAAATAACAAAAGGACGGTAACGCAATTGCAACACCTCTGGTGTTTCGAATGTCCTTGGGCGTTGCCGATTGCTTACCATCAGTTGATCCGTCTGCTCGTTTACCGGGTTATTCCATAAAACACGGTGAAATGGTTTTAATGAGCTCAAGTGCTTTCGATTAATATCCATATTGGTAAAATTAGATTATATTTATTTATTTACCATTTCATGTACCCACAGCACACAATATTACAAGAGACAACACATTATAAGCATGAGGTACATAGGTATCTACTGCATATCCCTTAAGGGATTTCTTCTTGCAGACCTGCGACAGGAAAAGGAAATTAAACATAAGATATTACAAGTCTGATTTGAATAATTGTTTTTGTGTTGGATAGCGCATTTATCGAGGATGGCTATAGGCTATAAAACATCAAGCTACGACCAATAGGAGCTGAGCAGAGCGTTTGAAACCGCGCGGAAGTAGCTAGTTATAAATAAAAAACTTCAAAATCATTACGCATAAAGATCTCTAAAAGTGACGTTAGAATTTCTTCAGCCAGAGTGAGCTTAACAAAAAAGCTCCTAATTAATATAAGACTAAGAACGGTTATTTTATTGTAAGAAATTTCGTCCAGTTTTTACCAAATCATGACGTGTTAATATCACAGGTCTTCAATAAAAGGATGTTGGTTCTAACTTTCAAACTTTATTTAAGGATAAGGGGATTTTTTTTCAAATACATAACATCACGCTTTTTATCCCCGAAAGGGTAGGCAGAGGTGCACATTACGGCACTTAATGCCACTGTAATGTAACACCCACTTTTCACTATTTATGTGATGAGTCCCATGTAATAGGGGGTGAGCCTATTGCCATATACCGGGCACAATTCCAGACTCCGTGCTACCACCGAGAAAATCCCAGTAATACTTTGCCCGACCCGGGAATCGAACCCGAGACCCCTTGCCCGGCAGTCGCACTTGCGGCCACTCGGCCAATTTTTACAAATCTAATCTTCCTAATATTAATAACAGCGATATTTTGGGACTTTATGTGTCTGTTTGTTAGCCAATTACGTCAAAACTGCTGAAAGGGGTGCTAGAATCGGGATTAAATTTGGTACAGTTATACCTAGAATATAATACCTTTTTAGCCCACGGGAACGCGAGTTAAGACTATAATGTAATGATTTGTATTGAAAAAGCTACTAATCATCACTACTAGTATAAAACAATGTCGCTAACCGCCGTGCGCCTCAAAGAGCCATCAGACCACCACAGATGGGGCCCAACAGGGCCAAGCCGATTCGGAGTCGCGGAGAACCTAACGGGTAACCGGGGCTCCGGCTCGACGTGCAGGAGTAGGAACGGGGTGGTTTTTAGTCAGTAAGAGTCTGAGACTCCCTCCCGCCTCACCCAGGCGGGAGCAGTCATTCGATGATTTTCCCCCTAAAAAAAAATAAAAAAACCACCGCCTGTGTGCCCCTATGTACGCTTAGATCTTTAAAACTACGCAACGGATTTTGATGCGTTTTTTTTAATAGATAGAGTAATTCTTAAGGAAGGTTTATATGTATAATACATGCATATTGCACGCGTGCAAAGCTGGGGTGGATCTAGTTATAAATATAAAAGTTTGCGAGGATTTATGTATGTTTTTATACTTAATCGCAAAATCCACTGAACAAGAGCAACCTTGTTCAAATACTTTTTGCCCAATCCGAGAATTATCGCGACTACCTGACCATTGCAGAAAGTAACATCGTGATAATGTTTAAACTAAGTCAATAAATAAGTATTTTCGGTGATCATAAGTACGTAAAGGTAAAGTGTAAAATAAACATAAATATCTACCTGTTTCAAAACCATTAAAATACACAAAAATATCGGTCAATTCAGGTACATTTCCATTCATTTTCAACCTAAATAAAAACATGCAAAAAAACCATGCAAACAAAACAAGGGTTAACACAGATTACCAATTAAAACATAAATATCAATAAAATGAGCCATTTCAATAAAAATTAAAACCTCTTTTAATTGATAGCCTGAATGAACCCTTGCCGTGTACAAAAAAAAAAAAAATAACCTCTAAATGTCGCGTTGACAGCTCCCAAGATGGCGGCGCATCTCATGTGAGTCAAGGACACTCTTGCATACAGCCAAAGAGAACGAAATAGTATTACACAGGCGAACACAAGAGAGTAAAAATTAAAAACCAGTTTTTTTAAACTTATTACGAAAGCAAAAAAGATTTATTTGGTCAAAATCATCTCTGTATCTAATTTTGGTAGGTTGTTTTTTAAAACTTTCGGTTTTTGCAACGTTTATTTTTATGGGAATAACTGTTTTCGAAAACCGTTATTTTTGGAATTATTAACCTAATTGAAAATACCGTTTCTTGGTGTTAATTTCGTAACATTATACGAAAACCGACCTCAAGAATATTACGACAAAAAAATATTAGATGTGCCTAAATTTTTATAGAATCGGCGGATATCGTGAAGAGTGTAATAAATCTAACTAAATAAATAAATAAACCAATATCCCTAACGATCCTTCTTTACAAAAAATCGGTTGAAAATGAGTTGTTTATGTATTTTTTCACAGTTGTGATTGTAACAGTAAATCAAAGACATTAATTATACTTTCAAAATATCAAAAACACAGTTATACGATGTAAAATTCAATCATAGTAAATCTCCCCTTAGATGTCGTATGCCTAAGGAACTACACGTGTGACAGAGACCGGGCAGCAGCGCTCTCAGATAAACCTGAACCATTTAAACTATGATCACCTCACGGGCCTGCGGACCAGACCCCAGGGTACGGCGCGTCGCGTTCCGCGCGCGTCTTAATGAGCCATCATACCCACCACGGATGGGGCCCAATAAGGCTGATGCCGATACGGAGCCGCGGAGGACTTAACGGGTTGCCGGGGCTCCGGCTCGAAGGGCAGTAGTAGCAACGAAGTTGGGTTTTAGTCAGTAAGAGTCTGACACTTCCTTCCCGCCTCACCCGGGCGGGAGCAGTCATCCGATTTATTTTTTTTATTTATTTATTTATTTATTTTTCTCCCAATTGTTACATAATA